ATATTAGTATGTTAAATTTTATTTAAATATTTTAAATAATTAAAAAAGTAGATCAGAGACATATTTATAGTAATTATACGGGCAAATTTGCCTGCAAATCTCTACCAATTAAGGGATAGTTATTTTGATTGACTAATATTAACAACACATGCATTAATACATTTCTAGTAGTCTTCATTAGAGCCACTAGAATATTTAAAAATCTAAAGTCCAGTCGAGGTTCCAGATTCTGCAGATTCTGATAAGTGAAATTCATGTGTTTTTCAAAATATGAGTATTTTTTTTCACTTTTATTTGTTTTTTTTTTTTCTTTTTCTGAATTATTCTAAGATTTTTGACATATTAGTTTAAATTTTTATAGTATTAATAATATAAAAAAAAACTCACTTATTACTCAATGTCTGATTGTATCTCATGCCACTCAATAATTACTTGCGGGGTTAGTTGTACTACATCATTAGCTTTATTAGAAATGGCTACTTGTTGGGATAGACATCCATGTCCTGAAGAATGCCTAGTTTATTTGTGATTAGTCATGTACTTGAGAGTAAAGAAGTATTTACTATATTTGTTGCAGCATAGTCTTTGATGAAGTTCTCAGAAGATTGATGGGCAGCAACGATCATATGATAAGATTTTAATTTTATCATAATATTGTAAGGCATGGATGGGATTAATGAAATGCTGATCTTTAGCTTTCATAATAAAAGAAAGAAATCCATCGTTCTGATCTAAAAGAAGTGTATCGTCTAGTGCTCTATATTCCTTACAACACAATAAATTTTTATATTTTTTTATATCTAACGAGTAACGGCATATTTGTGCATGATCTTCAATCCATTCTCATGATGTTAAATTAGCATGTAGATATCTAATTTAATCTACATACTCCACTGTGACGGGTCTATCATGTATGTTGTTTTTTTTCCAGAAAATTCAAAATTTCTACATGCCAAATTTTCATCTAATATGTTTTCTTGACTATCTAGGTGTGATCCAAACTTGTCAACAGGTAATGTAATACCAGCAAGCTTTTCAAACAGAAAAGACATACATACTTCTTTTAACAGGGTTGAAAGCACTTTGACCTGGGGCATGTGTACAAATAGTTAGATAGTCAAGATTAAATGTACAAAAAAAGTTATAGTATTGAACTATGTTTTTCATATGTTTGGGGTTTTCGTCGGGCCCCTATCAATGAGAAGAACCCAAATAGGTTTAACTTCATCCTCTTTCATCATAGCTGTGGCAAACTGCTTATTGGAAATGAGATTCTGAAAGTCAGCAATATGGGTTGATAATGAGATGCCAATGAAATATTCTGGTCTAATAAAGATTGCAAGTTGTTCTAATTGCAGGTTATCATTTGAATTGGCTGGATCAATGATGAGATAAATAGAAGATATGAGTTTCATTTTACTGCCAGTAAGAAAATCATGATCAGCAACTGAAACTGGTTCATTAATTGTTTGTATACTTTTAAATATGTGACCAACTGCAGGAACACCTAAACCAATTTTCGCTTTATCATCTTGAGAAATAATTATAGCATTATTCATGAAAACTTTGGTGAAAATCTGGGTAGCTTTAACTGAAGCTAGACAATAGTGTTCGTCAACGTGAGGTTTCATATCTGTTCATGCTATGGATGCAAGGGCAACCTTAGTGGGATGATGATGATGACATGTGGTAAATGCACAGGAATGACAAGGCTCAAGATATGTTGAGACATATTGGTGAAATAAGTATATATTATACTTCTCTTCTAACGCTTGCTGAAGATGTTTTATAGTTCACACTTTAATAATGACTTTTCTCCTTTTTGTATATACAGCTCTAAATTCAACACATTCGTGAATTTTATCCCAGAAATCTGGATAATTCATTGCTGCTGATGGCCTTCCAGGCCTATCATATTTCTCTATTACACCTTTTTAAAGCAATCTTGCTTTTTTTGCCTCAAGTTTTGCCTGTGCTTCAGCATGATGTTTAAGCTTTTTCAAATGTGCTTCTTGTTCATTAATCAATGACCTTTCTTTAAGAATGTTTGAATCTAGCATTTTTTTAAATAAGCTATCTGTTGAAATTTGATACATTCTTTCATATTCTAATATCTTTTTGTTGGCTACTTCAATTTTTTTAATTGTATCATGTTGACTTATTGTATTCTTGGGCACTTCAACGTTATGTTGTGGATGTGTATTAATTTTAAATAATGGAAAAGATAAAATAGAATTAGAATTATTTGCTCTATTCTGAATAAAATTTGATTGATAAGAATAAATATGTGAAGGAATAGTATTAAAATATTTATATATTTTTTCCTCAATTAATGTTTTATGTTTATATTTAATTTGTTTCCAAGTCAAATTACTTTTTTAAAAAAGCTTTTGATGATTTGAAGTCAAATTACAATAAAATGCTTGTTTGTAATATGCATATACATTACAAAATATTTGGTACAAATCTTGAGGTTCTTTGTAAAAAAAAGTTTTATTAAAATTGGGTGTTGTTAAAAAGCTTTGCATACTGGATTAGTTTATAATAAAGATTTTTATATCTAAAGTGTTGGGTGTAAATTTATGATTAAGATTATAGAACTTTAGCTTTTAGAAAAGTATTGCTAGTATGTTAATTTTACTAATAATGGGTCCTTCACGTTTATATAAAAATATAGTATCACTTATTTC